CAGTGAACATTAATCCGTTAAAGCTAATGAACACCCTGTGGTATTGAGACCCTTCAGAGCATGTACTTTCTCAGCCAGCCTGGAGGTCTTACCTAGATCCTAGGCCCTTCTGTTTTTAATGTCTTAAAATGCAAACTCTATGATCTGAGAAAACTCATGCAAGCTTCGCAGCTTCTCTGTATCTCAGTCTCTCACCTATAACACAGAGATAATAATGGGATCCACCTCATAGCACGGTTGTAAGGATGAAATGCCTCAGTATGCGGATGCTCATCACAGCACATGCTGATCTCTTTGTTTCTATATCAACTCCAGACTGGAGGCAACTGCAAGCCATAATGTAGAGAGTGGGGAGTCGGAGCACGAGACACATTCCTAGGAAGGAGCATTCTGGGGCCACTGGGAACGGCCAGGACCACAGACCAGCTTGGATACCTGGTGCTGGAGAGCAGAGGTCCCTTCCTCGGCAGAGACCTGAGGACACACCACCCACCTCACACAGCAGCTCCCACCTTGAATCCAGGGGTGAGGTTGATATGTGCACACGGAAGGAAAAAACGTTACCACCTTGGCCCTTCCCAGCATCGTGACATCCAGAAAGCTCTTCTTCTCACAGCTGCAGCGATTCTCCACTCAGATGAAAGACTTTCCTGAAAAGAAACACGTCCTTTGGAAGCGTCCAAAGTGGAAAGGCCGTGGGCAGCAGAGGATGGAGGTTTCCGCACGGCGGCCCTGAAAGGGTCTGAATGTGCTGTCAAAGGAGGTTTATCTGCTCGAGCAGCTGCAGAGCGGAAAGCTCAACATCGCCCATGGAAAGTGAGAGAAAGCAAGAAGGGGGTGCCCCGTAATGCTCCAAGGAGGCTGTTTCATTGACCACACTCTCCTAGAATCACGAAACTTCAGAAACACGTGAGCTTCATTTGCCTGGGGGCTGAACACTGATCTGCTTCTGGTCTATTTCCTCCTGAGATAGTTGCCTGCTCTTAAGCTGACATACTCCTTCCCAGAGGCCCCCAAGTAATGGTGCATAGGATGCAAATGCTCACGAAGTAAAATGCATCTTCACTCTGCACATCTTTTCTCTGTTACTATAAGACATTGGTGTTTGAATTTCCTCTCTCTCTCTCCTCTGGTTCTGCCCCATCTTTTCTTTTTTTTCTCTCAAATTCTTTTATTGGTACATTTTACGTATACGGTACAGTTACATCCATCATTGGGATCTGGTACTTTTACATGATATATCTTGGTTCTTATTTTTTCCCCATTCCCCTGCCCTCCCTTCACCCCTTCCACCCTTACCTACTTACAAAGACTTTGTTTTCATTTCTCATATTTTTTTCTTTCCCCTCCCCCCCACTTCCCCTACTTCTTTAGACCTTTTCTTTCTATTTCACATTATCAATTATACATTTTAATCCTTATTTACACTTTAAGTTTCTCACTCCAGAGAAACTAGTTGGAATTTACACACATGTGCATCCTATTTATTTCACTTAAGAGTATGGCCTCCATGTGCATCCATTTAGCTATAAATGTCTCTAGTTTCACATTCTTTATGGCTGAGTAGTATTCCAACATATATATCCCACATCCTCTTAATCCAGTCTCCAGCTGATCCTGCCTGATCTTTTAAATGGAGAAGCCTATAACTAGCAAGGCCATGCCTTCGAGTATGCAAGTCCTGCTTTCGTGCCAGTTGTCTCTGGTGTAATTATTAACATCTTCCCTTTGCACTCTCATGTGTATCCTAGTTTGGGCCACAAATTAGACAATCAACTGTCTCATTGTGGGTTCCCTTTGAGCAGACACTGAGGCAAGGGTTCAAGGGTTATTTGGGAAGTGCGGAAAACACGCTGCTGTGAGACAAGTCAAATGGGACAGGGAAAGGGCTACGGCTTGGAAAAAGGGCTGCTATTCAGACAGCTACCTTTGTGGGCAGCTGAGGCCAGGTCCAGGGTAAACTCTGGGAAGTGGCATGAAACTTATGTCCCTGAATTTCCTGCTACAAAGGCATGACAAGGGATCTGGGGTAATTATATACCAGCTCATGAGTCAAAGAGCTGCTTCTGGGAGTTATTAATTCCCTACCACTTCTGGTTCACCTCCAGGACACAATGGCCTTTTGTGGTTCCTGGAAAAGAATCACATGCACAAAGAAGCAGCCCCCTCTCTGGAAAGACAGCAGGAGCTCACCAGAAAGTCTGAGGAATATGGGTGGGTGCTGGTGCGTCTGCTGGGTCGCCATACTTGTAACTCCCTTCGCTCTATCATTTGGCAGGCATTCTGCTGTCTGCAAGTTCACCAGTAACTTTCTGTTCCTCAGGTCTGTAGAGTTTCTCTTTCTCAGTAGCTTTGATTTTAGTTCACTTTCTGTTGGCTGTCATAGGATATGTGAAACTGTGTAATTTATAAAGGTAAGAGGTTTATTTTGGCTCATAGGTCTAGAAGCCAGTCCTCCAAGAGTGGGAATTCACTTGAGTGAGAAAGACATTCATCCACTCATGAGGGCCCTTTCCCAAAACCCAAATACTTTGCCCTGCCACCCCCCCAGCACTGCCACAATCAGATGTCAACATGAGTTTCAGAGGGGACAAACCAGAGCATCTCCCCTTGTTCTTTTAATTGTTGCCCATCCACTCTCTTCAGACTGTTTGCTTACTTGGTTTTTGTCACCTTGATTTTTTAAAATCCCTATTGTCTTTGACCAATTGTGAGCAGTTTCCAATGTTCTCTTCTTTTCCTCAGTAACTTTCTATACCCACGATTTCAATAGTCACCTCCATGCAGATGGCTCTCAAATGAATAATATTCTCTTAAATTCATGCACTTTTTTAATTCATAAAAAGCCCTTTCTCCTTGGGATCTTTTTCACTCTGAGGCTAGTGTTGTTTTGCTATAGTTGTATCAATCACAATTTCTCTTTGAGAACCTACTTTCACATCTTGGCTGCCTTCTCTGTGTCCTTATTGATACGTTCTGCTTTAGTCTTCACTTCAGTGCACTCAAAGCTTTGAGGCTGGAGAATGTCAGTCTTCAGCTTTAGTGACGTTTGGTTTCTTTGTCATCCCCACCCCCAGAATATTGTGCCTTCCCTTTCCCATTTAGGCTTTGTTATAATTTGGCTCTCATATGTGTCCCAGAAGTCTCATGTGTTTGGAAGTGGGGCCTCATTGGAAGAGGAGAGTCACGGGGGGCAAGACCAGAGGTGCCCTCTCCTCTCCAGCTCCTCCCTTCTCTCTCTGCTTCCTGGTCACCACAGTCAGCGGCTTTCCTCTGCCACGCCTTCCTGCCGGGATGTTTCTGCCTTGAAATCTGCTGCCAATTGTGGACTAAAACCCCTGGAACCATGAGCCAAAATGAACCTCTCCTTTAGTTGTCAGCATTGAGTATTTGGTCCTAGTGAAAGACAGTGGCTAATATAGGCTTGTTTTGTAGCTTCTGCCTGGGCAGCCTCCCCTCCCCTCTCACCTATTCCCTTAGTACTACGTTCACAAGCAGCACAAGCACCACTGGATCACCACTTGGGAAAGGGAGAAAACGATTGGCTCAGTGCAAAACTTGTAGGAAGGGGCTGGGCATTTAGCTCAGTGGTTCCAGCACCTACCTTGAAAGCACAAGGACCCGAGTTCAATCCCCAGTACCAAAAAAACAAAAAACAAAAAACAAAAAAAACCTTGCAGGAAGGCAGTCCATTGAGCTTCTAGAACAACTGGGACCAAGTTTTCCAACATCACCAGCACTCTCTCACTGTCTCTCCAGTCGCAACTGCCTTTTCTCAGCCCAGTCTGCTCTTGAGCAGGACCCAACGACCACCTGCAGCTTTCCCTCACATCTTAGGCAAGAGGGAGTTTCTTTCTTTAGTTCTAGTTTTGTTTTTTTAGTTCTAGCTTTTTGGTTTGTTTTTTGATACAGGGGATCAAACTTGGGACCTCGAGCTGGCAGGCAGCGGCACCACAAAGCTAAATCCGTGGCCTCCAGGTTTTTTTTTTTTTTTTTTTTGAAAGAATCCTAAAAAATATCCTAGTGGTCTAGTGGCCAAGGTACAGGATGCTAACATTGGTAACCTCTTCTAGAACTGATCTTAGATGATTAAAATAAGGAGACATTCCCAAGAAAGGGGATGTGTTTCCAGAAGAATAAATGAGAAGCACTGAGCAGGTCAGACAGTGTGTACACCACCATTTTAGGTTTTTTTTAATCAATCCCTAATTCCTCTGTACAGGCTTTTCTGGAAGTCCAGTCTTATGTATTCTTTCCTTCCTCTGAGTGGCTATCACATTTCTTGGATATGCTATTTATTTGACATTCAGTCACACCCTGCCTTACATTTTCTGTTATGAAAAAGTATCACTACTTTAGTATTTTATTTATCTTCTAACTGATCACCTATTTATTCTCTCCTTAGTGTGGTTTTTGTTTTTGACTGTAGGAATGTCTTAATTTACTTTTCTTCCAGTAAGAACCCAAGCATAAGACTTTTCCCAGAGTAGGCTCAGTAACAGATTGTTAAGTTGGTTCCCACTGAGCTATGGCCCACACTGAGTGCGTATTTGCCTGGGTGGTCTGCTGGAGAAAAGTCCTGTGCTGAGAGTCAGGGGACCTGGCTTCTGATTCTCACATGAGCCATGAGGTGTTGGCCAGGAACAACTCTGTTTCATGGGTTTTCCATTTGTGAAATAATGACAATAAAATGTGCCCTAACTCTTAGGATTGTTGTGAGAACACACTGGAGAAATAAAAAGAAGGGTGCTGTATAATTTCAATAAAAAGAAGTGTGTTGATCACATTGATAATTCAAGGAACTAGCTCAGATATTACTGTATTTCAGGTAGAATACTTTTGTACCAAGTTTGTATTTACACCATGGTTTCCCTCCCTCGATAAAACCACTCAAACTGCTAGAAACATAAACCAGTGGTTAAGCTGATCATTAACTTATAAAAAGCTTTGTGGAACTTTAGAAAAAATATAATACTAAACTTTGTTTTCCGTTCTAATAGGAAAAGTCATTTCTTTAGTCCCATCTGGCATCAGAGTTGCCAAGTTACAACTTTATTGTAAGGTATGTGTTCTTTTTTGTATTTTGATAGCTGTTTAACCAATTTTGGTAATGAAATATTGACATAATATTCTTTTTAAAGATCATACCCCCCCACATTGCTAAAGAATCCAGACTCTAATTTTCTTCTTTTAATCTAGCTGCAGATAACCGATTCAAATTGACTTGTTATTTTATTTATAGGTATATATTAGGGATCAGGTCAATAGGGGTCACCCAGATTAAGATGAGCACCCAGTCCTAAGGAGAAGATAGAGAAGAAACAACCCTATTTAATTATCCACAGTTTTTCATGTAACAATTCTCTAAAACTGTATGAGTCAGGGTGGGTTAACTATTGTAACAAACACGATTTTCAGTGTCTCTGTGGAATAGAAGTTTATTTCTCACTTACATGAAATGTACTAGGCATGTTCCTGGTTAACTGACTCTTCTAAGTGGTGCCACAAGACACATTCATTCGACCCTACGATGGCATCATCTTCGACTCGTGGCCTCTAAGGTCACCAGGAAAAGGCATAATAGCGTGGGCAAGGCACACTGGATACTTAACCTCCTTAGCCTGGCAGACGGTTAACACACACGACCTCTGCTCACATCCCGCCGGTCACGTCGGTCCAGCTAGGCGCACACACCAGCTTAGGTGCTGGGCAGCCACTCCCCCGCCACGATTGCACTGGTCAGACAGGATACACACCTTTAGTGGACCACAGCTGCCTCTGCTCTGAGTTGTGCTATTTTTATATGTGGCAAACTGAGAGGTTAAGGTACTTACCCAAAGGCACATAGCTACTGTGTGGTTTGTTTGGTCCAAAGCTCGCACTGTCACACTAACTAACGTTTTTGCTATGACCTTGCGGCAGCTTCCAGGTCGTGGTTGGTCTCTTAGTGTGTAATGTGCCTATTAAATGCCTTCTCCTAGTTTGACCATTCTGGAAAGCTGGTCTTGATGCTGCCTTAACTTTCTTTGTTTTTTTTGGTACCAGGGATTGAACTTGGGCCCTTGTTCTTGTGAGGCAGGTGCTGGAACCACTGAGCTAAATCCCCAGCCCCTGCCCTAACTTCCTGATCTGATTTTCCTCGTAGTGCTTGGCCATGACTTAGGTCTTGATAGTTTGCCGTAACTCTCTCCTCCAGATACTCTTATTGCAGATAGGTAAATTAATTAGATTATCTTGTAGGCTGTTAGACAGGGCTGCCCTCGAAGCTCCAGCCCTCATACAGCCAACACAGCTAGGAGTCAACATGAAGAACAATTAAGGACATTTACTAGTTAGCATCATAAAAAGGGAAAGGGGTATTACTTCCCTTAGAGACAGATAGCAGCGATTGATATTCTAAATGGGAAATTCCTTGTATGTGACTTGTTTTCCTATTTGATCAATATTATCTGGATGTGCTATACTGTAATCAGTATGACCCGGGTGACTGTACTTATTGGTTGGTCATAGTTTTGCCCCACCTCATGCCCACCTTGTAATTTTCCACTGGGTCTTATAGTTTTGTCCCACCTTGAACCCACCTCACCTTGTGGCTTTGCTCCATAAAAATCCCCTTGGAAATAGTGTCCCGGGCAACCCACTTTCTGGTCCCCCTACTGTCTCTCTTAGACAGAAGCTTTATTTCTTTCAAAAAATTGTCTTACTCTTAATAGCCAGTGTCCCTAGAATTCATTCTTCAGTTTTAGAGAATATGAACTTGTGTTTTGGATATCTGGGGTTACATCTCTTCCCCCTGTATCACTCTCACAGCACTGGATAAGATTTCCACCCTTGTGAAATGGAGAATAAAGAAGTGGGACAAGAGCTTCCACAACTACTGTCTGAAGAGGATGGTAGCAGTTTGCAGATACAACTTGAGGCATCTTGTAAACAGCTATTTTATGCTTCTTTTTCCCATAGGTTAGTAAATGGCCAATGTTAAAGGACAGGTTCTAAGAGTCTGGATACAGGACATTGCTTGGGATTCAAGTAGTGGAAGCATATTTGTTTTGTGAACACAGATATATGCAAAGCACTCCTCAGAAGCAACAGGACAAATATATACACACACACACACATATACACATATATACACACATATACACATATACATATACATATATACATACACACATATACATATATATATAGCTCACATTTACTCTGCCTGTTACAGATGTGTGAAACATCAGTCCTGTTTACAAACGCCCAATCACACTGAGTTCTAGTTGCTATGGTTGTGTAACAAATCATCAGTGAACTTAGTAGCTTAAGTAGCCATGTATTATATCACAGATTTATGATCCAGGAATTCAAACCGGGCACAGCAGCTATGGCTTGTACTTGTTTCTCAGTTTCTAGGGCCTCATTGGAAGCCTCAATACTTGAAGGTTGGGATCATCTGAAAGCATATTCCTTCACAAGTCCTTGAGTGGGTCATCTGTGTGGGCCGGACTGGATTTCTTATGAACAGAGTGTCTGTGTTCCAGTGGTGAGAGAGAAAGAAAGTGAGTCAGAAGTCATGTTTTCACCTACCCGCAGAAGTCACGTAGCATTGTCTATCCCACATTTTATTCATTCATGTAGTCATACAAAGTCCTGCTGAGGTTCAAGACAAGGAGATAGAGATTCTATTTCTTGACAGAAAATAATAGCATTTGAGAAGAATGAGTAGGACTCGAACTATTGGTTTGACCAATTTTTGAGAAATCTAACCTGTCACATCTTGCTTTGTTTCGATTTGACTTATATTTAAATTCATCCTATATTTGGCACCCATGTTCCAGGTACCTAACAAAGTATATCATGTTATGCCTTTTATAGATTAGGAAATGGAGGTCTGGAGAATTTAACTAAATTGCCAAAAACCACAGAGCTAGCAAATGGTAGAATCAAGTTGTAAGTCCAAGCCTGGCTGACTCTAGATCTCATACTCTTCCCATAGTTCCGACAGGAATGACTCATTCCTTTAATGAAAGGAACGTTTGGCAGGAGGCTGGAGTGGTGGAGATGGGGTTAAGGGGAAGTTCACTTTGAATTAGTGGTAATTTCCGTGAAGGTCCTTGTTCTAATAATTTCCACCTTCCAGAATCCACACATTCTTAAAGTCCATCAAGTCAAGTGGATGTAATTGAAAACATTGCTCTGGTTTCCAAACAGCTGTAATACATTTACTTTGATTCTCCAGCATGTATAAAATATTACTCAAAGGCCCCAGGACTCTGTGATATTAATGGACAACGAAATCCATTCTCCTTCAGGTGGACCAAGAAGAAACCCCACTGAGAACCTACTAGAACTGAAGAGTTCATTGTCAAAATCAAGATACTTTTGGTAGTGAAAAGTGATGCCATTAATAATTTTGCTGGAGGAGGAGCATGCTAGAAATATTCTATATTTTGATCCGGAGGATAGTTACATGGGATTGTACACATGTAAAAAGTCATTGTGTAGTACTCTGAAAAGGTGTGTGCTTTATGGGTGTAAGGTTTACCTCGACCACAATATCAGTCTGGGTACAAAATAATAATTATGCCAAGACAATAGTCATGAACATGTTCTATTTTGAGCAAATTGGAACATATTATCACCCTAGCTATGCTGCCCTTACCAGGGCTGAGCTAAGAGGTATTTATGCTCAGAGATGATTGGCTTTCAATGTCAAGATCTCACGAAATTGCATCTTTGGATCATCTGCCTTAGTAAACCCTCACGCTCACACACCGTACATTCAGCTATACTCATTGTCACCTCCACCCAACTTGCACTCTCATGTACATTTATGTAGTCTCGGTCACATACGCACAGGTTCTCACACACAATTATAGCCACTCTCTCACATTCCCGCTCATGCAGTGCACATTGCATGCGTGTTTATACTCACTGAGGTTCACACCCAGTCACATTCACACTCACAAGCACTCACACAATGTGTACTCAGTCATGTCCTCAGTTACACACATTCATTTACCCACACCCATTATGTGCTCATATTTACACACACAGACATACAACTTACATTTGCATACAAATCCACCTGTACTTAGATGCAACAAGCACACACACATTCTCATTCACATTTTTACTCACACACTTATATTTTTATTCACACACATATTCACACTTGCACTGATACTCACAAGTCACATTTAAACCCCTACACATTCCCTCTTCTCCCTCTCTCTCCTTCTGCTCCCACCCCAGGAAGACCCAGCTGGAACCGGAAAGGGATACATGAGAACCTTTTATTTTATCCTCAGTTTTACTGCATGGCTGGCTGCTTAGGGATCTTATCTTTGCTGCATTATTTCTCATATGCTTATTTGTCCCAAAACAAAAATGTTCAGATCACAGTATGTGTATTTATATTGCACATAAAATCTACATAATCACAACAGAGATTTTTGCTAGGCTTTATAACTTAAAAAAAATGTGAAAACCTATAAAAAAATCTCAACTAGTATGTTTCGTAATTGGACTCTCTTTCAGTCTAGGGTTTTAAGTGGATGGTTTTGATATTAGAGATGGAGTGTTTTATAAACTAAAAGCAAGTTTGAGCTTAACATGCAAGACCCAGGTGGGTGGGCCTTCGGGATACAACAAGTGTGCTGGGGGACCCTTGTGTCACTGATTGTGTCAGGGTGGCCACTGCCCTGGTGCTGGAGGGGGAGGCGTGGTGGTGGGTTGTGTGACAGAAGTGGGGGCGGTTTGGGGTGGGGCGATGGTGTGGGTCACGGTCAGCGTGGTGGTGATGGTAGAAGCGTCACTGGCATGGTGACGGCTGGTATGATGCTGGCCATGACTGCTGTGGTGAGGTTAATCGATCTTTTCTCTCCCAGGAGACCCCTGGGATTCTTACATAAACTGTGCAAATCTTCCTTGAGCCTTGGCATGCCACGGCAGGAGCAGTGCCTCCTGGTCAAATGAAAGCACCTTTGGTTTCCCCTCATGGCAGCGGTATCCCTGGCTTATGTCCCCATAGCAAGGAATGGCCTTGAAGATTTGCCAACTTGACAGCTTCTTTTGCTGAATGAGAGGGTGGAAATCCCTGGTGGGCTATTCTGGGTAAATTTTAATTGACCACAATAAACTGAATATAGTTTCAATTCCATTTTTTGAGTTTAGACATCCCTTGACAAACCCACACTTATTGTAATAAAGCCACTAGTAAGTAAACCTCCTCAGTATTAAAGACACTGAGCAGAGGGCCTGAGCATGATTTTATGGTAAGGAGTCTGGTGCTCTGTGTGGTAAGATGTCTCTCTCCCAACTTCCCCCCATGGCACCCCAGTCAGAACCTGCTCCTGGGCCACCATTCTGCATCCCTTGTTATAACTCGTGCTCATTGACTGCTTGCTTGCTGTGTGCCAGGCATCAGGCTAAGGGCTGTGCAGAAACTCTCTCCAATATAATTCTGAACATAATAGTGTGAGGAAGTCAGTATTATCCTCATCACGAAGATGAAGAAACGAAAGCTCAGAGAGAGGCAGAGATTTACCTAAGATCACACAGCTAGTAAGGGGAAAAGGGGAAAAGTACTACTGGAATTAATTCTTCCTCACCTCATTGGCACAATTCATGTGATCACAGAATAAATTACTCAACAAGTATGTCTTTGTTTTTTTTTTTTTTTGGTACCAGGGATTGAACTCAGGACCTTGCACTTGCAAGGCAGGCAAGTGGCACCACTGAGCTAAATCCTCGGCCCAACAAGTATGTTTTTGACCCAAACATGGTGCTTGAAGCAGTTGTGGATTTTGTCTGCCAAAAGGCCCAGTATCCTAGGAAGGGTGGGAGTCTCTAAAAAGAACAAATGATAGAAAGACACGAGCTACCACTGTTAATGTGAGTTTTAAATGTCCTGCTAAAGCCAACACTGAATTTTGCACCCCCTCCACACCCCTATATTTCTTGACTGAAATCAAGTCATTCAGGAATTGCTCCCAATGAAAAGCTTGTATCTCTTTTGAAGAGGGAGTATCTCTCAAGAATAATACAAGGGAAATACAGTTTGGAAGGAGTCTATGGTTTTTTTTTAAAAATGAATTTCTATTTTAAAACAAATATTTAAAGAGCTTCATATTTGTAGCATGTTTTGTTAAAAGAGCTTTCCTCTCAGAAAAGCCACAGGTCTTCTTTGGGGAGCTAAGACAAATAGACATCTGGCACGTCTGGTGGTTTGAAGTCATGTCAAGGGCTGATGGGTAGAACAAGAGAGACTTGGGGCAGTTCTAGAAAGCTGGGGCCATGGGTAGTTTTTCCCACTGCCAGTTCAGTAGCCTCATGGGTCTGGATTACCCTTCAAGAGAGAGAAACAGGGAAGGCAGGTTGGAAGTGAAACAAAGCGTTCAACAGCCTGGTCCCAAAAGAAACCTGAAGAAAATTGTCAAAGACATGGGAAACAGGGCAAGGGAAGCCATAAAGGAAATAACTGCTGCAGAGGCAATGACGGCAGCTGAGGGCAGGGCTGAAACCATTCCACACACCCATACTTCCCATCACCAAACTGGGGGGACAACCAAGCCAAAGACCAAGTAGCTGCCTCTAAATGCCACTTGCTTCTTGGTACCAGGAATAAGTGGTAGCTATAACAACCCTCCAGGCAAATGCCAAGAGATTCTGCAACAGCCCAGCAGGGGCAAGACAAAGCTCACATCTCAGCCATAGCACTGGTTGAGGGTTTAGGGAGGGACATGGAGGGGTGAGATTCAGAGAGGAACTAATTCCCATCCCAAGGCCTGTGACAGCAGATGGGCCTGGAGGGACCCGGAAGGCTATCTGCAGGGTGTCCTTGTGTCTCTCTGGCCTGCATCACTTGGCTCCTCTTATTTTGTTCCAAGGACAGGGAGGAGACAGTAGGGCAGCGTTCCAGGGACCTGCTTAGGAAAGTCTGGTGAACCCTGGGAGAATTGGAAAAGTGTTAAGATGGGGGAAGGGCTGTTTCCCTGGTAACGCATTTGTCATAGCAACAACAGAACCTGCTTCCTGCCTTTAAGCCTCCCTGTAGAGCCATGGTAAGCTTTCCAGTGTGCCAGCCCAAAGCTGAGCTAATCATTTTGTTTTGCCACAGATTTCACCCTCTGGGTCTCTCTTGGGATGGAAAGGAAAAGGCACATGAGGACTGACTTGGGAATAGACACTACGGGCACCAGAATGAAGGTAACAAAAAATATGGCAGAAGATATGGAATAGTTTTCAATACCAACAAAAGAACAAAGAAAGAACGAGAGAGTAGAGAGATAGAGATAGAGGTCACTACTGTCACTTTTTATACTTTATTGCACTTCTTATCTCTTTTTGGTACTGGGGATCAAACTCAGGACCTTGTGCTTACAAGGCGGGCACCACTGAGCTAAATCCCTGGCCCTATTACGCTTAATAGTAGGAAAATATCCAATTCTGTTGGATCTCATTTATACGTCAGTATAGAAATATTCCTTCATTTATTGATTCATGAAATATTTATTCATTCAATAATTATGTGCTGAGAACTTGCCAGGGATAATATAGGACAATATTATAGGGATATTATTAATCAGAAGAATGAATGTGTATTGGGGGCATAGTTACTCTCCTTGTGTAGACAGGGAGACTGAGGAATAGAGAAGTGTGTGGCTGTAAATGGAGTAGGTTGTTCCCTCGAGAGTTTATATCCTAATAATAGATATAGGCAGCAAACAAATGATTGCACAGTTATTTAATTATAGTCGTAATGCATGTTTTAAAGGAGGTAGGAGTTTGCTGTAGTCTATCTTAGAGGCATAGATAGAGACTTGGGAATGACAAGAACAGATACAGGCCACTCTTGCAAAGGAATTTGCTTTGGAGAACCCAGAGATAAGGCTATATGCCTGGGGTGAGGTGGGAGAGACCCTGGGGTGCTCGCGTGTCTTCTTGCTGCAGTCCTGGCCTTGCCCAAAGATGATGAAATAATGGAAGTTCTGGGAGACACCTGGGTGCATGTTGTCTTCGTTATTTTTCTCATTGATGAGACAAAATACTAGACACTCAACGTTAAAGGAGGAGAGGTTTATTTCAGCTCACAGTGTGTAGAAGTTTCATAGTCAACTGGTTTCAAGGCAGGGTGGCATGGCAGAGGAGCATCACAGAGGAGAAACAGCCCATGGCATGGCAAGCAGAAGGCAGTAAGCAGCAAATACCAAACAGCCTTCCTTTCCTTTTTATCCCATCCAGGCAGCAAGCCTTTTGGTTGATGCAACCCACACCCAGGGATTGGGCTTCCCATTACCCATACTCAGAACTACGATAAACCAATTAGTGGACTACCAGTACCACACACCTTTAATTCCAGCATCACATCCTTAACTCCAATTCACACTCTCTAGATCAGTCACTTCTGAAAAGTCCTACCTATAACAGCAAGATGCTTTGGTATGTGTGTGTGGGGGTACCAAGATACAAGTCCTAACACGTGTTTGACCTTGTCCAAGGAGTTATGGAGAAGGAATGATATGTGGTAACAATCTGAGAACAGAGGAGAGAGAGGTGTTTCTGTATATGGAAGCATGAATATGTTATCCATTTTTGCAGGAGAGAAGGCAGAGGGCTTGGGGACAGATGCAGGCAAATTGGACGATCGAATGGTGGAAAGATGAGAAAGTCTCTGACTTTTTCTTCTGTTTTCTCAGTATAACATTAGATAAGATGTGCATTTGAGAGCAAAACAAGAGAGGAGGTGCAGTCCGTTTGGGGATAGGAAAGTCTTCAGTGGTTGCATTATAGATTGACGGATCTGACCTTGACAGTGCAGTAGCTCTCCAGGTAGGGCTATCTGAAACTCGTGTTATGTGTTTTCCTCCGGCAGGATGATACTACTCAGGTGGAGGGATGAAGTGCGTGAATTATTAGACTTAATATGATTCAGGGATTAACCACGTGAGCAGGTGGAAAGGAGAGAGGGAAGAGGGAAAGGGGAAGTTGCCAGGAAGTGAGAGTAAAGATGGGTCACAGAGTGTAATTCAGAGAAAAAAGCGTCAAGATTGAGGATGTATGGGTCCATTTGCCTGCTGGGTAGGAACTGGCATCTGAGTAAGTGTTAAAGTCCTTGTGCTTGCGGTCCCTTCTGCCTGGAATTCCCTTCCTCCAGATTATTTTTTCAGGACTCACCTTCTAGTTATTCACATCAGAACCTGAATGTGATGTTCCTTAGAGAGGTCTTCTCCTACTACCCTCCCACAGCAGCTCAGTCACACCTTAGCCTCTGTGTATTGCATTGTGTCATGGCCCTTATCTCTATGTGAAATCACCTTTTAAAATGTATCTTGTTCATTGTCTATTGCTTTCCCTGTAGAATTTATAGCCCATGAGAGAAGGGGCTTTGTCTATTTTGTTCTGTATGGGACAGTTCATGGCACAGAATAGGCACACAGTAAAAATTTGTTGAGCAAATAAATGCTCTCACTCTGCCTTGACATGGAGTAGACTTTTTAGAAGTACTCAGTCTCAAAACTTCCCCTGACTACTAGGCAGTACAAGGAGAAGTGGAAATGTACAATCCACACAAAGGCAGAAGGGTGCTACTAAAGCCAAGTTTTATTTCTAATGAGACATGACCTTTTAGATTTAGTCACCATGACTGGTGACAAATGAGGTTGCTCATTAAACCTAAAAAGAAGGTACAAGATGCATGAAGATCAGGTATGGAGTTGAGTTTCCATAGCTTTGGCTTTACAAGATTATTTACTGTATGGGACAAGGCTGAATAAATTCAAGCCTGTCTATAGAAGGTGCTACTTGGGTTGTCTAAATTTGGGAGATCTGGGAAGCCAAACATCTAGAAAGATTTAGGGACTGGGACCAAGAATCTGATTGCCTCTCAGTTGCAAGCATCTCATTGCTTGGCCACCCCTATTTTTATGAGCTGGTTTCTGTGCTCTTGGATTGTGTGGGAGGAGCTGGACTCTGAATTAGTTTCAGGGAATGAGCTGTGGGATAAATCACCAAATTTCTGAAGCACAACTTAACTATGGTACAAAGTGTCTGGGCTGACGATGAGACATCTTGCATCGCGTGTCCTGAGTCTGTGTTGGCTAATGACCCAGCCACAAGCATTCCCACCTCATGGCCCAGGCACGTGAGCAGCACTGCTCTGTCTGAGAAGTGAAGCATTTGTGTCTTGCGCAGATAAAAATGTCCACAAACTTAGATCCTGCCTCTGTTTTGAGTTGCTTATGGACAAGAAAGTCACTGGTGATTTAGCCAGTGAGGTCAGTGTTTCTTAAAAAACTCAAGGATTTTAGCAGAATTTGATAAACATTGAGTTTGAACTTAATGGAAGAGTGGAGACTGACAACTTGAAGATTATCTACTTCACTTTGAACTACTTTGAAGATGACTGGGACTGGGGAGTTTGGACCTCAGTCTGCCAGTGGGGAGGGCTCTTACTAGGTAGAAGGGACTCAGGGCCCTGACTGTCCCCGAGGCTGAAGAAACCCACTCAAGAGTGCTTCAGTCCAACAAAGGAAAACCTAAGTAATACCGCTGACATCAGCAGCCACCCATTGCTGTACCTATGCTCCTTTAAACTTTTTAAATGATATTTTTATGTGCTTAAAACTTTTTATTGGAGCATAACATACACATGGAAATGTGTGCGTGTCCAAAGTGCACAGCTGGATAAATTTCACAAATTAAACACACCCATATATTTGGCACCAGCTCAAGAAAAGGAATATCGTCAGCATCCCAGAAGCCCCATGTACTCCTTCTACTCACCGTCCATGTCTAACACCCTGACACTCAGCACCATAGATTAATTTCACACGTTTTTACATTGGTTGCTTTCATTTGATGTTTCATCTGTGAGATTCATTCATATTGTTGCATATAGCAGTAATAATTCTCATTTCTGTAGAATATTCCATGGTGTGACTATGCCCCAATTTATTCATCTGTACCACTGTTGATGGACGTTTGGGTTGTTTCTAGTTTGTTATTATTATAAATAATACTTCGGTGAGCATCCATGTACGTCTCTTGGTGTATACCTAGTGTGTGTGTGTGTGTGTGTGTGTGTGCACAAGCACACACAACATGCACAGAAAGACTACCTAAGGAATAAAATTGCTAGGAAATATGGAAGTATATGCTTAATTTTATAAGAAACTCAAACTTTTCAGAAGCAGTTGTACCGTTTCATACTGCTACCAGAGGGGGATGTGAGTTTCACTTCTTTCATAGCTTTACTAGTATTTACTCTTGTCGTCTTCGTTTTATCAATTATTTTGGGTGTATAATGAAATCTAGGCTCATTTTGTACCACACTTTTTCCGTACTCTTCTTTCTACCTATCTCTATCTTTCTGTAAACTACCTCTCTCTGCTCTTCACTGTAATGGAGGAAAGCATGTATATTAGCTTTCTGTTGCTGTGAGAAAATACCTAAGGGGAAAAAAAATCAACTTAAAGGAAAAATACTTATTTGTCTCTGCCTCAATCGATGATTGCTGGCTATTGTTTCTGGACCTGTGTGAGGCAGAATGTGGTGCAGCAAAGTTGCTCACCCTCATGGCTGCCAAAAGCAGAAAGGGAGGGAGGGTAGAAGAGAGGGGGTAGAGAGAGAGGAAGGACGAAGAGGAGGAGGGGAGAGGGAGGGTGAGAAGAAGGAGGAGAGAAGAGAAAAAGGAAAGAGAAGGGAAGGGAAGGAAGGGGAAGGGAATTAGAGAACAAAGAGGATGGAGACAAGACAAGGTAAACCCTTCCAAGTGTGCCCCGGTGACATACTTCCGCCAAGTAGGTCCCACCTCTTCCCGTTTCTGTCACCTCTGAACAGTCCATACAATTACGAACCCATCACTGAATGAATCCATTGATCAGATCAGACCTCTCATGACACGGTACCTCCCAAAAGTTCCACCTATGAACATTGCTTCGTTGGGGACAAAGTTTTCAACACATGAGCGTTTTGGAGAACATTTTAGATGCAAACCATAACACCATAATTTCATGCCATTAGTTTATGTTATTGTCCAGTCATACAGCTTGCTCAGAAAGAAATCTTTTAGTGACAGTTCTAAAGTAAGGCAAAGGGAGTCTGCTTGACCCACAAGGGTCACATCACAAATTGAATTTTATCCCTTGTCGTGGTTAGGGTGGAGTGTGACATTGAATGGCTTTGTGTCCACCCAGGAGATTGGTGGA